ATGAGCTCCTTCTTCATGGCCTGGAAAAGCGACATCTTCTGCGCCGTGCACGGGTCGGTGTAGCCTGTCACAGCCCTCTCTGCACAAAGTAGTTTTTTCTGTAACTCGCTGCCCACCAGCCCGGACGAGACGGCCTCGTCCACGGAGAGCTTCTTGTTGGCGAGCGGGTCAATGATGAAGCCGGTGGCAGCCTGCGCCTCCAGCAGCACCAGTGCTGTCCCTGGTCTTAGGATGCCCTTCCACATGGCCTGGTAGATGCTCATCTTCTCCACCTTGGCGGGGTCGGCCTTGGAGGGCACCAGCACACCGGCGATGCTTCCAGTTCCCTCAAGGTATCTTCTCACACTATCCATTTGTGCTATTTCTTGTGCCGTTTCTTTTCCTTCATGAAGTTTTTCCATTGTTTCTTCTGTTATTATCTGTGCACTGACAAGTTCTGATGCTGTTATTTGTTGTCTAAGTCCTTGGAACCAGATATCACTTCTGTCCTCTTCTTTTTTTTTGATGATATTTAGTATTGTTTCAATGATTCCTTGTAGAATGTGATGGGATTCCTGTTTATATTTTTTCACCAGTTCTTTTCTTTTCTCTTCACTGATGTACTCAGAACAGAGAAGTTCCCACAGTGATAATACACGTCCTTTGTATTTTCCAACAGGCACTTGAACCTTTTTAGACAACAGGGAATTTTTTGTTTGCTCATCAATGTAGAAATAGTCATCTTCTTTTTCCATAACCTGCAGCAGGTACAATCCACTATCTCTGTCTTTGGAACATCTCTTTAGTAGCTGGCTGTAACTGATTTTCTCATGAGTGTTTGGATCTATAAAACCTTTGCTTCCGTGATCTGGATCAGAAAGTAGAAGAAACATTTCCTCATCCAAGTAGCCACGCCGGTAGGCCACCTCCACGGGGAGGCGGTGGCTGTGCACGGGATCGATGATGCCGCCGGTGGCTATCTGGGCCTCGAGCAGGCGGATGCCATGCTCCTTGACTATTATCTTTTGCCTTATGGCCTGGAAGAGGGATAATTTATTTCCTGCATGAATATCTGTGTATCCTGTCACAGCTTTCTCTGCTGATAGGAGTTTCTTGTGCAAGTTGCTACCCACCAGCCCAGACGAGGCAGCCTCATCTACTGAGAACTTCTTATTTTTCAGTGGGTCAATGAGAAAACCAGTGGCAGCCTGTGCCTCCAGCAGCCCTAGTGCACATTGCTCTGTGAGTAGACCCTTCTCCAGGGCCTGGTAGATGCTCATCTTTTCTTTCCTTGATGGGATTAGAACCCCAGCAATGCATCCAGTGCCATCCAAGTATCTTTTGATGGTGTCCTTCTTTGTGAGGCTGGCAAGTGTGAGACTCCCATCCTGCAGCTGATCTAGAGTTTTCTTGTCAATTATTTCAGAGTTAAACAATTCTGATATTGACACATCCCCCCGGAGTCCTTTAACCTTGAGGGCTTCTGCTCTTTTCTCTGTATCCTCAACTATTTTGAGGATGAGGGCTATAAGATCTTCCAGCGTGAGGGTTTTGCATTTGTACTGCATCACTAGTTCTTTCCTTTTCTGCTCAGAGATGTAATGAGAGCAGAGGATTTCCCAGATGGAAACCATTTGGTCTTTAAACTTTCCAACTTTCACTTCAAGGGGCTTTGAGCGGAAAACCTTTTTGGTACATTCATCAATGTAGAAGTACTTTCCTCCTTCCTGAACAACTTGTAGCATGTACAATCCAGTCTCTGAATCTTGGACACATCTCTCCAGGAGCTGCATGTAGGTGAGGTTCTCGTGGGTGTTGGGGTCAAAGAAGCCCTTGGTGTCGTCGGTGGGGTCGGAGAGGATCTGGTTCATCTCTTGGTCAAAGTAGCCACGCTGGTAGGGCACCTCCACGGGGAGGCGGTGGCTGTGCACGGGGTCGATGATGCCGCCGGTGGCAATCTGGGCCTCAAGCAGGCGGATGCCATGGCTTTTCACAATCAGTCCTTGGTTCATAGCTTCAAACAGGGACATTGGGGCTTTTGTGTAGGGGTCAGTGTAGCCTGTCACAGCTCTTTCTGCAGAGAGTAGCTTTTCAAATATCTCCCCTCCAATTAGACCTTCAGTTAATGCTTCCTCCACTGAAAACTTCTTGTTTTTCTCTGGGTCAATAATGTAGCCAGTGGCAGCCTGCGCCTCCAGCAGCACCAATGCTGTCCCTGGCCTCAGGATGCCCTTCCTCATGGCGTGGTAGATGCTCATCTTCACATTGCTTGGCTGTATAAGGACCCCTGCTATGAAATTGCTGCCTTCCAGGTACCTGCGGACAGAGTCCATTTCAGTGACTTCTTTGACTGTTTTCTTCCCCTGGTTGAGTTCATCGAGGGTTTTTTTGTCTATAAGTTGAGACTGGAAGAGGTCACTGGCAGATACTTTTTTCCGCAGACCCTTGAATGCAAACTTCTTGCCCTGCGCCTCAGTCTCTTTGATGATTGTGATGACAATTGTTATGATTTCATGTAGTACTTCAGTGTTCTCATCTTTGTACTTTTGCACTAGCTCTCTTCTTTTGCTGTCTGAGAGGTATTCAGAGTTGAGAAGGTCCCAGACTGACACTGTCTGTCCTTTGAACCGCCCTATGTTGACACAAACAGTCACAGATTTCAGCACCTCAACGGTTTGTTCATCGACACAGAACATCGCGTTTTCTGACAGAGGAAGGAGCCAGAGATCTGACTCAGGCTCATGAATGCACCTGTCCTTCAGCTGCTGGTAAGTCACATTCTCCTTTGTGTTTGGATCAAAAAAGATTCTGGTGCTGTCATTCAGCTGAGAGAGGGTTTGGTTCAGGTCGTCATCATAGAAGCCATATCTGCATGCAGCCTGGAGTGGAAGGTGATGATGGTGAATGGGATCAATGACCCCTCCTGTGGCCAGCTGGGCCTCTAGCAAGGGAACAGCATCTCCCAGGGGAATCAGCTCTTTCCTGAGCGCTTGACATATTGAGATGGAGGTCCCTGTGTAGGGGTCTGTGTAGCCAGTCACTGCCCTCTCAGCTAGAAGGAGTTTCTCGGTGAGCTCTTCACCAACCACACCTGCTTTCACAGCATCCCTCACGCTAAGTCTCCGGTTTGTAGCTGGGTCAGTTAGGTATCCTGTGGCTGCCTGAGCTTCTAGCAGCCTCAGAGCAGCCCCAGGGAGGAGGAGATTGTTTTTCATGGCATCATAAAAGCTCATCTTCTTTTTGGATGCCTCTATGAATACTCCGGCAATGCTGCCTGTGCCCTGCAAGTACCTCTTCACACTCTCCATCGCAGCCACTTCCTCAGGAGTTCTTATGCCCTGAGCCAGTTCTTCAAACGTCTTCTCAGTAATGATGCCAGCATCCAGCAGCCAGACTGCTGGGACACTGCCCCGCAACCCTTCCAAGGTGATGTGGGTGTGGGCTTTCATTTCCATCTCCCCAACCAGTCTGAGCACAAGAGCAACCAGCTGCTGCAGCGACATTTCCTCAGACCGGAACTTCTCCACGAAGTCACTCCTCTGTTCCTCAGTGAAATACCCAGAGTGAACTAGCTCCCAGAGGGAGATCCCTTTTTCCTTTACCACAGTTTCCTTAAAAATCTGCTGGATTTGTTCATCGGTATAGGCAGGAGCAGCTGTCTGTGGTAGAGGCAGCAAGTGGAAGCCGGAGATCTCATCCTTCTGGCAGCGCTTGATTAGCTCAGCATAGGTCATGGTCTCTTTGCTGTCTGGGGCACAGAAGGCTCTGTTGTTGTCACTGGGCTTAGAAAGGGCCTTGTTTGTGTCCTCATCCAGGCATCCTCGCTTCTGGGCACATTCTACAGGGATATAGTGGCCGCATGTTGGGTCAATGATGCCTCCTGTAGCCATCTGCACCTCCATCAACTGCATCGCCTGTTTGTCAGCAATCAGGCCCTTCTTCATTGCCTGGAAGAGGGGTATCTTCTTGCCCGTGAAAGGATCTTTATAGCCTGTTACAGCCCCTTCTGCATGCTGCAGCTTCTCATGGACTTCTGGCCCAATGACTCCCTCCTTGATGGCATCATCCACACAGAGTTTCTGGTTGTTCACTGGGTCAATGATGAAGCCTGTGGCAGCCTGGGCCTCTAGCAGTGGGAGGGCTACTCCTGGGACCATGATGTTTTTCTTCATGGCCTCGTAAATGCTTATTCTCTGGTTTGATGGCTGGAGTACAATCCCCCCGATGCTGCCAGAGCCATAGAGGTACTTTCTGACAGAGTTCATGTGCAGGACTTCCTCCGGTGTGATGGATCCCTCCAACACCTTCTCAAACAGGGCCTTGTCAATGACACCTGTTTCCATCAGGTGGTAAGCACTGACGCTACCTCTCATGGCTGGGAACTTGATGGGGGCCCATTTTTTCATTTCCTCCTCTAGCATGATTCGAATTTGCTCTAGGGTGAGCTTCCTCAGCTGGTAGTGGTTGAATATCTCTCGGCGCCTCCCCTCTTTTTTTCAGCAGGTCCCACATGGACACCTTCTCCCCTCGTAACCGCCCAAACCTGACCGGCAGCCAGGAGCTCCTGAACACCTGTCTGGTGGCATCATCAATGAACTGGCACTTCCTGCTGTTCAGGGGAAGGAGGCAGAGCCCAGTGTTTGGCTCTGTGATGCACTTCTCCTTCAGCTGCAGGTAGGTGAGGTTCTCATGGGTGTTGGGGTCAAAGAAGCCCTTGGTATCATCACTGGGATCAGAAAGGATTAAGTTCATCTTCTTGTCAAAGTAGCCACGCCGGTAGGCCACCTCCACGGGGATGCGGTGGCTGTTGATGGGATCGATGATGCCACCAGTGGCGATCTGGGCCTCAAGCAGGCGGATAGCGTGCTCCTTGACGATGAGCTCCTTCTTCATGGCCTGGAAGAGAGAGATCTTGTTCCCTGAGTAAGGATCTCTGTAGCCGGTGACTGATTTCTCTGCAGTCAGTAGCTTGTCATAAACATCTGGGCCAATGACGTTGGCTCTTAATGCCTCATCCACAGAATACCTTTTGTTGGCAGCTGGGTCAATGACAAATCCAGTAGCAGCCTGTGCCTCCAGGAGGATCAGTGACGTTCCTGGCCTTAAAAGTCCTTTCCGTTTTGCCTGGTAGATGCTGATCTTCTCCTGGGAGTCCGGAAGCAGGAGCCCACCAATGCTACCTGTCCCTTGCAGGTACTTCCTGACAGTGTCCATGCTGACAACTTCTTTGGCTGATGTTTCTCCCTCCTTCAATTTCTTAAACAAATCTTTGTTGATGATTTCAGAGCTCAGGAGCTGGTCAGCTGTCACCCGGTCCCTCAGTCCTTCAAAGGTGACATTAGCAGTGGAAGCCATTTCCTCAATGGTGGCACTGACTGCCTTACCCAATTCTTGCATAGAGAGTGTTCCTGCAAGGTACTGCTGGGTGAGAGCAGCTCTTTGCTCACTCTGGATGTAGTCTGAGAAGAGAAGTTTCCAGAGAGACACCGACTTTCCCTTGAATTTACCTAAAGCAATGGGTACCTGTGTGTTTTCCAGAGCTGCTTGGGTCCTATGGTCAAAGAACAGGTGGGTTCCCTCGGATCCTTCTTTGCTGTCTCCATCAAGTGGCAGCAGAAGGAGCCCCGTGCTGGGATCAGTGACACAGCGCTTGAGAAGGTCTGCGTAGATCAGCTTCTCCTTGAAGCTGGGGTCAAAGAACCCTTTCATGTCATCAGTAGGACTGGAGAGGAGCTGTCTTGTGGCCTCGTCCAGGTACCCCCACTTGCAAGCTGTCTCTGTGGGGACACGGAGGTGCCTGCCTGGAGCAATTATACCCCCTGTGGCCATCTGAGCTTCCAGAAGGAAAATGCCATGGTCCTTGGGGATGAAGCCCTTCCTGATGGCTTGGAACAGAGAGAGCATTTCTCCAGTGTAGGGGTCCCTGTATCCGGTGATGGTCCTCTCAGCTGAAGACAGTTTCTCATGAAGCTCTGGGCCGATGAGACCGACCCTGACAGCCTCATCAACTGAGTAGCTTTTGTTCTTTATGGGGTCTGTCAGGCTGCCGGTGGAGGCCTGGACTTGCAGGAGCATCAGAGCAGCACCAGGCATGAGGAGATGCTCTCTCAGTGCCTGGTAAAGACTTTTCCGCTCACCAGAAGGCAGGACGACACCAGCCACACTCCTTGTCCCATGCAGGAACTGCTGAACGGAGTCATTCTCTGCTACCTCCTGGGCAGAAACTCTTCCCTCCTCAAGACTTCTGAACATGTCAGGGCCGATGATGCCAGAATCCAGCAGATCCCTGCTGCTCACCCTCCCTCCCAGCCCTGGGAATGTGATTTGCAGGGGCAAGAGGAGGAGGCCTGAGGCTGGATCAACAATACATCTCTTCATAAGCTCCATATAAGTGACTCTCTCCATAGTACTGGGGTTGAGGAACCCTTTGCTGTCCTCATTGCTGGGGTCAGAGAGGAGCTGGGTCATTTCTTCATCTAAAAATCCCCTCTCACAGGCAACATCTGCTGGGAGCCGGCAGCCAGTGGCTGGGTCAATGGTGCCTCCGGTTGCAATCTGGGCCTCTAGCAGCCGAGTACCTTGCTCCCTCCCAATCAGATCCTTCCGGATTGCCTGGTAGAGGGAGATTTTATCTTCTGTGTAGGGGTCTACAAAGCCAGTAGCAGCTTGCTCTGCAGAGAGCAGCCTCTCCTTCAGCTCCAGCCCCACCAGCCCCTGCTGCACGGCTTCTGCTACAGAGACATGCCTGTTCTTCACCGGGTCAGTGATGAAGCCCATGGCTGCCTGGGCCTCCAGAAGACAGAGTGCTGAATCCAGACTCAGGAGGTGCTCTCTGGTGGCATCATAAAAGCTCATTATCTTCTTTGAAGCCTCTACATACACTCCAGCAATGCTGCCAGCTGCCTCCAAGGGCTCACCTGAAGCATCCATCACCGTCACATCCCGGTCAGCTGCTTTTTTCTGTTTGCAAGGCAACACGTCCTGGTCCAAGTGGTTTGCTTCCTGGTGATGGATGGGGGCAGCATGGCCGTTCACTGCTGGCTTGCTCTCCATCCTCCCGCTGCACTCTTTTCACAGCTGTCAAGACCCTGGAGAGAAGGGAGAGAATGGGAAAGCTCTGTGAGAAATCAACTTTTCTATGGCTTGCATGCTAAACATGGGGAAAAAAAAGAAAAATAAATACCTTACAGGCAGGAGGAAGTAACAGGCAAGGGCTGAGCATGTTCAGGGCAGTGTGCTTGTCCCTGAACCTGACACGCTGAGCCAGACCTGCCAGAGGCCAGCACCCTCTGCATCCTGAGCTGTGTGCACTAGGACATCTCAGCGCAAGAGAGAGCCTGGAGTAGAAACACCAGTGGGACCTGTGTAGCACTGAGCTGAGGCAGGCCTGGCTCCTGTGAGGAGTAAAGCCCCCATGAGCTGACACATGCATCTGGCCACCAGTTTGTGCAGAGCTTCATAGGCCTGGAGGGCAGCGGGGCTTGGGGCAAAGCAGCAGCCAAAAGCTGCAATTCCCAGGGAGTACCAGCACTCGCTCAGGCTACTGCTGACACTGGTACAGGGATGAGCAAACCCCAAGCCAGCACAGAAAGGCTGCTCCCCTCTGCCAGGAACAGGAGGTCAGCTTGGAGCCCTGGCACACTTCCCACAGCAGCACCAGTCAGCAGGGGCTGGAGCCGCCAGGGAACCAAGAAGAAACCTCAGAGGCTCTTTGCCTGGTGCCCACTGCTGCACCGAGACGGGGTATCATCTGCCCTCCTTGCCTTGCTCAGGGGGGGGGGGGGGCAGCAGGAGAAGCGGGTGGGTGCAGCAGCCTGCACGGGGAGCGCACGGACCTGCATGCCTGCACTCGTGTTTCAAAAGCTCCTAGGCACGTTGGGATCAACCCTGATACAGCCGTTATACAGTCAAATTGTGGTGCTGGAGGGAGTATGAGGCCGCAGCACGCTGGGCTGTGCACACCAGAGGGCTGGAGGACGCTTGTGGCTGAGTATGGGCTGTGCAGAGCTCTGGGAGCCGCGTCAGCCACAGCCT